CTGGAGATCAAGCGCCGTATCTCCACCACACCTTGGTAAATATGCTGCACGCCTTCCTCTAGCTGCGTCGGCGCTAGCTGGCGGTTGGTGGCCGCCTCCACCATCCGGTCGAGGATCTCTTGCACGCGCCCCAGGGCCTTCACGCTCTCGGGCATCGCCTGCAGTTGCCACTGTATTGACTGTAGGAGGGCTCCGAGGCTGCCGCCGACCGTGCCGCTTCGGTCGCCGCCTGCTGAGGCGGGTTGGGATTGCCCCCTATCGCCTGGCGAGGCACCCACGTCAGGCGCTCGCCACAGTGAGAACACTTTGAACCCGATCCGCGTCGGTTGCCGAAGTACCTCACCGCCGAGCGAGGATGATCGCATGACGGTGGAGGCTTCGGTGGAGGCTTCAGCTGGGTCGGCAACGGCGCCTGCGGCCACGTCTGCTGTGGCTGACCGCCCCCCTGGTTGTTGAGGTAGGCCAGTGACGCGGGGGGGGGCTTCCCGGCTGCCGGACCGCGCAGGGGCGCTGGGGAGGCTGCTACCGCCGCTGCCCCTGAGGCTCCACCTGCCCCTGGCTGAGCCGCTGCCGCCGCTGCTGACTGCTGAGGTTGAGTCCACGCCCCCGGCGGCGGTCCGTGCGCCTGACCTCCTGGAGGAGGATGGTTCGGTGGTGCCGGAGGCCACTGGACTGCTGCTGCGGCCGCGTTCCACAGGACAGGCCTGGGCTCTGGCAGCGGCGCTGCCGCCTCCGAGGCCAACGCATCCATCAGCCCGACTGCCGGAGGAGGGCCGAGAGGCTCAGGGGCGTGCTGCGGCTGGGGCGGCAGGGCTTGACCGAGCTCGGCTGCGGGAGCTGCTGTCGCGGCATCCTGCAGACCGCTCGTTGCACCCGGCTCCGCCGAGCTGATGGAGCTGCAATCGCCCCCTGCACTGGCGAATGCCGCCTCGCGCCGGGCGAGGAACTTCCCCGTCGCCTCCTGCGCCGCCCGCTTGCCCTCTGAGTCCTTCTTGCCTGCCGCCACCAGGCGGATCGCGCCCGCCAGCGCGAAAAGGCGGACCGTCATCACTCGCGCAGGCAGGTGAGTCGTGAAGGTCTGTCTCGTCACTGGCCGACGAGAGGTCTCGAAGTCGCTCAGCTTGGCTCGAGCCGAAAGTTGCTACTGGGTGAGGATAGCTCGGACTCTCTGAACGCAAGTCCTGACGACAGCTCGAAAACTCTGAGACCGCCTTAGTGTCGTTGTCGTTCTGGGTCGTACCCGTAGCATTCCCTCCAGATATTAAGGCCCGGGCCGACCTATCAGGCGACTGCTGAGCCCGTGACTTCCTGATCACCGCGTGAGCGTACGTATACCTAGCATCCCGAGAACGCCCATGATGATCGTGACCCTGAGGAACACCCTGATAGGTCCTACTTGGAGTCCCGAGAGGCCTAGTAGTCCTGAGAAGACGATGATGACTAGGGAGATGATGTACACGCGAAGATCTCCGGACTCCAGCATCTCCGGAGGCGAGCCTTGGTCGATCACAAAAGACTCGGTCGTCAAGAAAGGATACTTGCGCAAAGCAGACTCGGGGATCTCGAGTGGCACGTCGAGGGCCTCTATAATCTCGACCATGCGGTGTCCCGACCCGAGCCGAAACATATCGACCTGCAGGCCCAGAAACTCCGAGCCCATACGGCCGCGCGGCAGGTCGATGACACAGCCGAGAAACTCGAGAAGATTGACGGACAAAATGTGCAGAATCTCGTCGAGCAGCACCGTCGTCTCGATCACGCCTAGAAATCGGCCGAGACACAATGGAAACAGGATGGACTTGACCACCTTGGCCGGTCCTCCTACGCCATGAGCTGCACGAGGCCTCTGAAACAGACGGGGGATAATCTCGTACCAGAGGCCTACTGCCGCAAGGGTTCTGGACTCTCGATCGAGCGAGGCCAGTCCCACCAGGTCGCTGCCCGCGCGAGGATCGACGAGAGCCTGAGTCTCGCGCGCCACCAGGTAGACCTCGCTCGTCTTCATCTCGACGACGGCCTTCTTCCAGTCCGCGAGCATGTCCATCGCGATGGGCAGCGCACCCCCCGTGAATACGCAAACGTTCGTGGCACGTTTCTTGGCGAACTTCGGGTCGTCTCTGTTCGGGCACTCCTTGTGCCAGTGACCTTTCTCCTTGCAGATACCGCATCTCGTTATCTTTATCAATTGCTGCGGCGTCAGCTTGGTCCGTCGCCCCCCGCGGCCACGGCCCTTGCCGCGGCCCTCGCCTCGAGTGGCGCGGCGCCTGGCAGGAGGTGGAGGAGGCCTGTCGCGTCTGGTCTGTCTCGGACGGGCACCGTAGTACTCACGATCTTTCCTGGCGGCCCTCTTGATATCCTTGCTCTGCTTCCATGTTCTCTTGTTGGACCGATTCATCTCAAGCATGGCAAGGGCCTCCTAGACCTGGGACTCGTCGAGATCTAGATCCTCGAGCTCGGCGAGGATGGCCGCCTCGTCTCCCTCGCCCTCCTCTTCGTCATCGTAGAAGTCACCGTCCTGGTCGTCGTCTGGATAGAGCTCGCTGTCCGAAGCACCACCGTCACGACCCACCGGGTATGAGGGAGGAGGAGGAGAGGAACTGCCTACTTGATCGCCGAGACCTTTGTCGTCGGCGGCTGCCATTGCTCCTCTACTGCTGCCAGGCAGCAGTCGCTCAGAGCCCGATGCGTTCATCTGACGCAGGGCCCAACTCACGCTATCGAGCTCCACCTTGCCATGCGTCATGGTCTTGAGGTTCTGGAGTCCCTGAGCCGTCAGGCCCGCGCCTTCTTCTAGAAGGAATCCCTTGACTCGTGCAGGGAGCACCAGGTCATGTGCCTCTGCCTCTAGAAACTGACGCTCGCGCCGGGCCACGTCCTGACTCAATCTCTCTCTCTCTCTCTCTCTGCTCACGAGTCGCCTCGAACAGCGCGTGACGGCCCGCGCGTCGGAGATCATCTCATTCGCGCTCCCCGATCATCAAATCCATGCGCTTCAGCACCGCCTCGGGCCAGCCGTTACCCGACAACGTCGACTCGGGGAGGTCGTCGAACTGCACCTGCATGGGATTGTCGAACAGCCGAAGAAACTTTTCTGACCTGCGCCACATGGGCACGTCTGAGTTCTTATTCCATATGCTAATTGCTTTTCGCAACTGCCTGTAGTGGGTCCAGCCCGGCCAGGCTGGAGGATCCGAGTAGTCGCCCTTCGTGTACTCGGACCAACCACCACCACCGCCACTGCGGCGCCAGTCACTCCAGCTCCAGTCGTCGGTCTTCTTCCACGACTGGTCCTTCTCGTCCCACGCGTCCTGGCGCCACTCGTTCCACGCACTCCATCTGTCCGTACTCCAGTCAGCCCCTGGCTTGGCGCCTGCGGTCCTGGCCGCCTCGGCTGCAACTTGCCAGGGGTCTTCTGGCTTGGGTTCCTCTTTGGTGGTCCTGGAGTCGCCGCCGCCGCCGCTGCTACTGGCTGCAGCTTCGGCCATGGTCTCGCGCACGACTCCTGCCACCATCTGTTTCAACTGCTCCGTTGAGAGGGTGACCGCTCCGGCGTCGGCCGCCGGCGTGCCCCGCACGCCCCCTTCGCCGCCGCCTGGGATCACCGCTGCCGTGAACTCCTCCGCGGACATCCCGCGGTCCGCGCCGCCCGTCGGCGCGAGCCCGGCCTGCCGGAGGCACGCGAACAGTGACCGACCTCGACCTTCATGGTCGGCCGTCACCGCCCATGGCTCTCCGGCTGGACCAGGCTCCGCTACCAACTGTGGCAGCAGCAAGCGCACGCAAATGTTTTTTCCCTTGAGCCAAAGCGTCGAGTTACGAGAGGCGCTCTGGAGTGATAACCTAGGTGCAAAACCTATGTCGTAAAATCTGCTTTCCTGTTACAGGGAGTCGTTGGCTGTCTTGTAGCTTGAGCCCAAGACAGTCTTGAGCCGAAATGGCTACGGCGCTGGATAATCCGACGACCGCCCGTGTCCCCAGCTGACCTGGCCCCTGCCCCGCGGCCCCAAAGGGGCCCCCACTCCGAGGCGCGTCGACGAGCCTGTCTGGCCCCGCAGAACGGGACAGCACATGCGGGGGACCCACGGGCGCGCCGACGAGCCTTAGGGCCCCGCAAAAAAAAAACAAACATACGGGGGCCACACGGGAGACCATGCAAAGAAGAGCATGCGGGGGGGGCACACGGGAGACCACACGAGAGACCATACGGGAGACCATACGGAAGACCACGCTGGAGAGCATACCGGAAGCCATACGGGACACAACACGGGAGACCATACGGGAGACTAGTCGGGAGACCATGCGGGGGATACGGGAGACCAGAGAGGCAAAGACCATCCGGGAGACCATGATGCGAGAGACCAGAGGCCGCGAGCCCCCGGTTCCGGATCCGGAGGAACTCACACGGGCCTTGAAAAATGAAACCCTTACAGACAAGCCCATCAGGGAACTGAATAAGAACCCCATTGGAGGCCTCCGGAGACCTCTGGGGGCCTCCAGGGTCCCGCGGAGACCTGTAGGAGGAGGCAGCAGGAGGTGTATGAGAATTGTGTGAATCGCCCCGAGGATCTGCTCCGCCTCATTGACACCGCCACTAACCACGAGCAAGTCCGAGGACCCCAGCCGCGACGCGCGGATAGGCGGAGCTGGAGTGTTTGCCTCCGCAGATGGGGCAGCAGCCAGTCGCAGCTCTCGGCGACGGCCGCCGATGCCCCTGGCGGATCGCCCCTTTGATCGGGAGCCCCGAAGAGGAGGAGGAGGAGAAGGAGAAGGGGGAGAAGCAGCAGGAGGAGCTCCTGTTCCTCCTGCCCCACATCCCCCACCTCCTCCTCCTCCTCCTCCTCCTCCTCCTCAACCTCCTCTCTCCTTCTCCTCCTCCGCCGCCTCCTCCTCCGCCTCCTCCTTCTCCCCCTGTCTCCTCCTGCTTCTTCTGGAGGGGGGCGGGGGGACAAGCGGCGGAGGACGGGGGGAGCCCGACCGAGGGCGCATCCCCGCCCGGAGGCCTTCACAAAGGTGTCGCTGGTGCAGTTGGCTGGGAGGCTGCAGACGTTCTCCAGGACCTCCGAGGGGGGGGACTCTAAATATGCACCAAGTCGTCTGGGACTCGGAGCATGACCAAGTACCAAGTTTAGTGTGTAGAAGCTCCTCCTCCTCCTCCTCATATTATTAGTATTCATATTATACTTATTCTTATCTTACTATTATTACTATTATTATTATTATTAATATTAGTATTATGCTTCTTCTTCTTCCTCCTCGTCGTCGTCCTCCTCCTCCTCCCCCCTCCTCCCTGCACCTCCTCCTCCACCCCCTCCTCCTTCTCCTCCTCATCCGCTCCCTCCCCCTCCTCATCCTTCTCCTCCTCCTCCTCCTCCTCCTCCTCCTCATCATCATCATCATCATCATCATCATCAGCAGCAGCAGCAGCAGCATCAGCATCATCATAATCATCATCATTAGCATCATGATCAGCATCATCACCAGCATCATTACTATCATCATCATCATCATCATCATCATCATCATCATCACCATCATCATCATCATCAGCATCATCATCAGCATCATCATCATCGTCATCATCAGCATCATCAGCATCGTCATCAACATCAACATCATCATCATCATCGTCATCATCGTCAGCATCATCAGTATCATCAAAAGCATAATCATCAGCATCATCACCATCATCACCAGCATCCTTATCCTCCTCTTCCTCATCATCATCAGCATCATCAGCATCATCAGCAGCAGCATCATCACCATCATCATCAGCTTCAGCATCAGCATCATCATCAGCAGCATCAGTATCTTCAGCATCAGCAGCAACAGCAGCATCAGCATCAGCATCAGCATAATCATCATAATCATCATCATCATCATCAGCATCATCATCATCATCATCATCATCATCATTATCATCATCATCCGCAACATCATCCTCATCATCATCATCGTCATCATCCTCATCATCAGCATCATCATCATCCTCAGCATCAGCATCATCATCACCAGTATCACCAGCATCATGATCCTCATCCTCATCCCCAGCATCAGCATCAAACTCAGCATCAACAGCATCATCATCATCAGCAGCATCAGAAGCATCATCATCATCAGCAGCATCATCGCCATCATCACCAGCACTACCATCATAATCACCATCACCCATCATCACCATCATCACAATCAGCATCATCATCAGCATCATCAGCATCAGCAGCAGCATCACGATCATCATCCTCCTCCTCAGCATCATCATCATCATCATAATCATCCTCAACCTCAGCATCATCAACATCATCATCAGCATCAGCAACATCACCAGCAGCATCGTCATCATCAGCATCATCAGCGGCATCACCAGCATCACCAACATCATCACCATCACCATCATCACCATCATTATCATCAGCATCTCAGCATCACCATCATCATCATCACCATCATCATCGTCATCATCATCATCATTGACATCATCACCATCATCAGCATCAGCATCATCATCATCATCATCCTCAGCATCATCATGCTCAGCATCAGCATCAGCATCAGCAGCAGCATCATCATCAGAATCATCAGCATCATCATCGGCAGCATCAGCATCAGCATCAGAAGCTTTATCATCAGCATCCTCATCACCATCATCACCAGCATCATCCTCCTCCCACGCCTCTTCCTCATCATCATCAGCATCATCAGCATCGTCACTATCATCATCATCATCATCATCATCATCATCATCATCATCAGCATCATCATCAGCACCAGCATCAGCATCACCAATCAGCAGCAGCACCATCCTCATCATCAGCATCAAACTCAGCATCAACAGCATCATCATCATCAGCAGCATCAGAAGCATCATCATCATCATCATCAGCAGCATCATCGCCATCATCACCAGCACTACCATCATAATCACCATCACCCATCATCACCATCATCACAATCAGCATCATCATCATCAGCATCATCAGCATCAGCAGCAGCATCACGATCATCATCCTCCTCCTCAGCATCATCATCATCATAATCATCCTCAACCTCAGCATCATCAACATCATCATCAGCATCAGCAACATCATCACCAGCATCGTCATCATCAGCATCATCAGCGGCATCACCAGCATCACCAACATCATCACCATCACCATCATCACCATCATTATCATCAGCATCTCAGCATCACCATCATCATCATCACCATCATCATCGTCATCATCATCATCATCATTGTCATCATCACCATCATCAGCATCAGCATCATCATCATCATCCTCAGCATCAGCATGATCAGCATCAGCATCAGCATCAGCAGCATCATCAGAATCGTCAGAATCATCAGCATCATCATCGGCAACATCAGCATCAGCATCAGAAGCTTCATCATCAGCATCCTCATCACCATCATCACCAGCATCATCCTCCTCCCACGCCTCTTCCTCATCATCATCAGCATCATCAGCATCGTCACTATCATCACCACCATCATCATCATCATCATCAGCATCATCATCAGCACCAGCATCAGCATCACCAATCAGCAGCAGCACCATCCTCATCCCCAGCATCATCATCAGCATCAGCATCAGCATCATCATCATCATCATCAGCATCAGCAGCATCATCAGCATCAGCATCATCATTATCAGCACCATCATCAGCATCAGCATCAGCATCAGCATCAGCAGCAGTATCATCGTCATCAGCGGCATCATCATCAGCAGCAGCATCTTCAGTAGCATCACCATCGGTATCATCATCACCAGCATCACCATCATCATCAGCTTCCTCATCCTCATTCTCATCCACATTCTCAGCATTCGCATCATCATCAGCATCAGCAGCATCATCATCATCATCATCATCATCACCATCATCATCATCATCAGCAGCAGCAGCAGCAACACCATCATCACCAGCATCATCAGCATCATCCTCAACCTCAGCACCATCAACATCATCATCCTCAGCATCAGCATCATCATCAGCAGCATCGTCATCATCAGCATCATCACCATCATCACCAGCATCACCATCATCATCACCATCACCAGCATCACCATCATCATCAGCAGCATCTCAGTATCACTATCATTATCATAATTACCATCATCATCATCAGCAGCATCATCAGCATCATCATCAGCAGCATCAGCATCATCATCATCATCATCATCATCATCATCATCATCATCATCATCATCATCATAATCATCAGCAACAGCATCATCCTCATCCTCAGCATCAGCATCATCATCATCAGCAGCACCATCATCACTATCATCACCATCAGCATCATCATCCTCAAGGTCATCAGGCTGATCGGCCGTGTCGGGAGGGGCCTCTCGGTGCCCCGCGGCGGGGTCCCGCGTCGGCGGATGACGGCGCCGAGGTCGTCTTGGCCGTGACGACGACGGGGCTCGTCGCCGCGGCTGGGATCGGCTCGAGGAGCTGGCCAGGCCGCCCCCCTTGAGGGGTCAAGGGAACAGACGTTGAGTGTTTGTCGGGCAGCGACGACGACGACGCCAGCGAGGACGATGAAGACGAAGGCGGCGAAGACGACGACGACGACGAAAACGACGACGACGAAGGCGACGGAGATGACGGCGACGACGGCAAAGACGGCAACGGCGACGAGAACCTCGAAGCCAAGGACACCCCGAAACCTTCGAGAACCTCCGAAACTCTACGAACATCGCCGAACACCTACGACGACGCCGACAAGTACAACTACGACCTGTAAAATCGCCTGGGGACTCCTGGAGGCGCTCGTCAAAACTCTCACCACTTCCGCCGTCGCCGTTGCTGGTTTCGCAGACAACGTCATCGCCGTTATCGTTCTCGTCATCGTCCTCGTCGTCCCCTTCGCTGTCGCCGTCGCCGGAGTCGCCGCCGCAACCGCCTTCGACGTCGTCGTCGCACTGAAACCTGCAAGAAAATTATCCCCCTGACCCCTCACAAGGGTCGCCCTGGCCAACAGCTTTTGCAATTTGCGACCAGCCGCGGTGACGATGACCTGTGGAACCGCCCAAAGACTTCCGAAACAACAAGGATGACGTCACTGTCGTCCTCGACGTCCTCATGGCGTGCCCCCAGAGAGGCAGCAAAAAACTTCGTCGTCATCGCCGCCCCCCTGGCGGCAGCGAGTCCTTCTTGTGGAAGTTCCGCGCGCAGTACTCGGCCGCCACGGGGCCCGGCGGACCAGCGCAGGACCTCGTGAGGTTACCCAGACTGGGCGTTGTCGCCGTCATCGTCCTCGTCTTGTCGTCCTCGTCCTTCTCGTCTTCGTCGTCCTCGTCGTCCTCGTCGTCCTCGTCGTCCTCGTCGTCACCGTTGCCGTCGCCGACCCCATCGCCGATGTCGATCAAGCTTCGAGTTCGAGGTTCGAAGTTCGAGTTCGAGGTTGGGGGCTCCTGGAGTGAAGCCTCCATGGGGACATCCAGAGACCTCCGGAAAACTCTCTATGGAGACATCCCTTTTTTTCCTGAGCGTCCCAACCTGCGCAGTGGCAATCAAACTACCCCAGTCCGGAACCAGAAAGTGAAACAATGAGGCTGCAGCTGGGACTCTGGGGTCCAGCCTACCCCTGCCGGCTGCGGAGAGAGAGAGAGAGAGAGAGAGATCAACGCGACGCGGCGCAACTACGGCACTGCTGGGCGGAACCTCATCGCCGACCGCCCACGGTGCGGCGCCCAGGCCAGTCACGCAGCTCGCCGCCCGGCGCGGCCCACTCCTGGATGTCAGGGGAGGGCTGCTGCAAACTCCAGGCTGCTGGGGCTGGGCTGCACGTCCTCCGTCACCACTGGGCTGCCAGGCGCGCCCAGCCCCCTGGCAAGCCTGACTGCGGCCAGAAGAGGGCGGGTCACCCACTCAGTGGGCGGTCGCGGCTGCCGACGGCGTGGTAGACCCTTGGCGCTGCTGGATGCGCTGGCGCTGCTGCGAGTGGTGCTGCCGGGTGCGCAGGTGCGGCTGCGCGTGGCGCTATCGGCCCAGGTCGTGGTGGCCTCTGCGGTGCTGCACAGTACGCGGGAGCTGCATCGCATGGCGCCGCCACGAAGTGTCGTTGTTGGCATCAGAGCTGACGTACGTGCTGGAGGATGTGCGTTCTGTGGCAATTGCGGGGTCTTCTCGAGCGGGCGGGCCATGAAGCTATGCCTGCCATGCGAAGAAGAGCCTGCCAATGCGCAGGCCAAATGCCGCCGAGACAAGTTGTTGAGGGGAGAGAACCCGTACACAAGTCAAAGACTGTGTGTCGGGGAGGCGGTCCCTCTCCCACCCGCCGAGCAACGGGCTGTGCTGGCAGCACTGCAGGCTCGCTAGCACACTGGGATAGCTGATGGGCAAGGCGGAGACTTGACCACTCCGGGTTCCCGCACCAGGCCCGCCGGCGCCGCCGTGCGCACCGCGCCCTCCAGCGAAGCCACACGGGCGGCCGCCGCTGGGCCGGGCCGCGCGGGCAGCCGTGGGGGCGCCAGGGCGGAGACTTGACCACTTCGGGCTCCCGCTGTGGGCCTGGTAGACGCACGCCGTCGCCGCCGTGCGGCGCCACCGAGGTGGGCGCCGCGCCGCCGCAGTGTTCCTTCGACCTCGGTGAGCTGCGGTGCGCCATCGGGGAATTCGCAAACATCAGAGCTGACGTATGCACTGGCATTGGTGCCGGCAGAAGCGCAAACGGTAGTGTCAGCGCAGACGCTGGCGCCGGTGCTGGCCTCGGTGCTGGCGTCAGGGGAAACGTCCGCGCTTCTGTGAGCGATGACCTCGGAGCTGGCGTAGGCGCCGGCGCTGGTGCCGGCCTGGGCGCAGACGTTGGGCCAGCACAGGCGCTGGCGTGGATGCTGACCTCGGTGCTGGCCTCCGTGTCGGCGTACACGCTGCTGAAGGTGAGGAGGTCAGAGCGAATGTAGGCGCTGCCGCTGGTGCCGGCGGAGGAGCAAGAGTTGGTGCTGGCGAAGACGCTGGCGTCGGTGCTGGCCTCGGTTCTGGCGTCGTTACCCACGTCCGTGCTGAAGCCACCGATGATGCTGGAGCTGACGTAGGCGCTGGCGCTGGTGTTGGCGTAGGCGCAGGCGTTGGTGCCAGCGCAGGCGATGGCATCGATGTTGGCGTCGGCGCCGGCGTACGCGCCGGCGTCTGTGTTGGCGACGGTGCTGGCGGCGGTGCTGGTGTAGGCGACGGCGTAGGTGCTGGCGTCGGTGATGACGCCGTTGCTGGTGAACGCACTGGCGGGGGTGCCAGCGCAGGCGCTCACGTTCGTGCCAGCGTCAGTGCTGGCGTCGGTGCTGAAGGAGTGCTGGCGTCGGTGATGATATCGGTACTGGTGGAGGCGCCCGCGTTCGTGCCGGCGCAGGCGCGAAGTTCGTGCTGGCGTCGGTGCTGGCGTCGGCGCTGGCCTTGGTGCTGGCGCCATCGCAGGCGTTCCTGCCGGCGTCGGTGCTGGCATCGGTGCTGGCATCGGTGCTGGTGCAGGCGTCGGCGCTGGTGCTGGCGTCAGTGATGACGTCGGTAATCCTGTAAGCGCTGGCGCTGGTGCCGACGCTGGCGCCGGCGTGCGTGCTGACGTCCGTGCTGGCGTCGGCGCTGGTGTAGGCGCTGCTGTTCGTGCCGGTGTCATCGCAGGCGTTCGTGCTGGTGCCAGTGCTGGCATCGGTGTAGGCGTCGGCGTTGCAGGTAAATGGCTTGCGCACCGGTTAGCTGGGCAGCTAATCGGTGCGCTGCGGCCTGGCGGCGGTGATGGTGTAGGCGTCTGGTGCAGGCGCTGGCGTCGGTGGCGGCGTAGGCGCAGTCGTTGGTGCTAGCGCCTGTGCGCACCGCTTAGCTGGGCCGCTAACTGGTTCGCTGCGGTCTGGTTGCGGTGCTGGAGTCGGCTCTCGCGTTGGTGCCTGCGCAGGCGACCGCGCTCGTGCTGGCGTCAGTGCTGGCGTCGACTCTGGTGTAGTCGCTGGCGTAGGTGCTGGCGAAAACTCAGGCGTTGGTGCTGGCGTCAATGCTGGCGTCGGTGATGCCGCAAGCGCCGGCGTCTGTGCTGGCGTCGGTGCTGGCGACGGTGCTGGTGTAGGCGTCGGCGTTGGTGCTGGCGTCGGTGATGACATCGGTGCTGGTGTAGGCGCTGGCGTTGGTGCCAGCGCAGGCGCAGGCGTTCCCGCTGGCGTCGGTGCTGGCGTCGGTGTTGATGGAGGCGTCGGCGTTGGTGCTGGCGTCTCTATGGAGACATCCGAAGGCCGCCATAGGTCGTCGTCATGATTCCGGAAGTCTCCGAAGGCATCCGAGGACCTCGAGGGTCCTCGGCAGACCTCCGGAGTCCTTCAGAGATCTTCAAGGAGGCCTCAGGAGGTCATCCTCGTCGTCGTCTCGGCGGCGGCTGCGAGTATTCCACAAATTTCCCCATGTGTGGGCCTCAAGGGCAGGCCTCGTCGCCATGGCTGGATCGGCCTCGAAAGCCTGCTCGGAGCGCTATCCAGGAGGAGTCTGGGGTGGCGATGTTGTCCGTCGTCATTCCTCCTCCTCCTCCTCCTCCTCCTCCTCCTCCTCCTCCTCCCCCTCCTCCTCCCCCTCCTCGGCGGACCTCAGGTACGCCTGATCAAGCTAGGCTCAGCCGACGCCATACAACAAAGAGGCACCACCCAGCTGGTAGTAGTCAGAAAGACGAGGGCGGGGGGAGAAAGAGGGACCAGAGGGGGCAGGATTGGTCCATTCAACAGGGAGTCCCAGGAAGCAGCCCCCGAGGAGTTTCGAATGCGCGGAACTCTTTCTGGGGGACTGGGATGAGTGGAGGGATGACTCGCCCAGCTCGGCTGCTGGTGAACCCTCCACACGAAACATAGAAAATGGCTGGGATTTCCGAGCTGGCGAGCGAGGCAACCACCCTCGCCCAATGCAGCTAGTGTCCCGATCGTCATTGACATCGTCATCCTCAGCACCATCCTCATCAACGTCATCAGAATCGTCATCATCACCACCACGGTCATAGTCACCGTCACCATCACAGTAAACGTCACGACCACCACCACCATCCCCATCCCCATCACCATCACCATCACCATCACCATCATCAGCATCATCATCAGCATCAGCAGCATCATCGTCATCAGCATCATCATCATCATCGTCGTCGTCGTCATCATCGTGATCGTCATCAACATAACATGCAGCATCATCATCATCATCATCATCATCATCAGAAGCAGCATCAGCATCATCATCAGCATCAGCATCAACATTATCAGCATCATTATCATCACCACCACCATCATCATCAGTAACAGTATCAGCATCACCTTCATCATCACCAGTCTCATCATCATCATCATCATCATCATCACCATCATCACCATCATCAGTCTCATCATCATCACCAGTCTCATCATCATCAGCATCATCAGCATCATCGTACTAATCCTCCTATAATTATCATCAGCATCCGAGTCCTCATCATCCTCGTCATCCTCATCCTCATCCTCCTCATCATCATAGTCATCAGCATCATCATCGTCATCATCATCAACATCAGCAGCATCAGCATCAATCATCGGCACCGTCATCGACAACATCATCAACATCATCAGAATCAGCATATGTATCATCATCGCCAGCACCATCACCATATACAGCGTCATCACCATCATCATCATCAGCATCAGCATCATTGTCATCATCATCATCAGCAGCATCATCATCAGCAGCAGCATGCATCATCATCATAAGCATCAGCATCACCACCATCTACAGCATCATCACCATCATCATCATCATCAGCATCATCATGATCGGTAGCAGTATCCTCAGCATCACCACCACAAACATCACCATCACCATCATCATCACCATCATCACCACCATCACCATCATCAGCAGCAGCATCAGCACCATCATCAATACCATCATCATCAACATCATCATCACCATCAGCAGCAGCATCATCATTGTCATTATTACCAGCATAATCACAGGCATCATCATCATCATCATCATCATCGTCATCATCATCAGCATCATCAGCATCATCATCATAATCATCAGCAGCAGCAGCACCATCGTCATCAACATCAGTATCAGCATCATCATCATCATCGTCGTTATCGTGGTCGTCGTCGTAGCCATCATCACTATCGACATCTGTCGTGCGTTCGTTGTCTTATTTATCCTCCTTTTCCTCCTCCACCTCCTCCTCCAACCTCCTCCTCAGCCTCCTGGACGATGAGAACCCGAAGAGGAGACTAAGATCGACGAGCTGATAATGATGGTCGAAGGCTTGGATGCAAGCAGGATCGCAAGGACAGCAACAAATTGCTGAGTAATCCAATTCACAGGCTTGCTAAGTTGTGGGCAGATGCTATCGAATTTCTGAGAACTCAAGAGGCTCAAGAGTTACAGCAACATCTCTATGACTGGACTGCTCACCGCTTCGGTAATGAAGATGAGGTGCGGGTGCGAGAAGAACTGTCGCCGGATGGCGTTCAAGGTGATCGAGACGGCGAATGAGAACTTAAAGCAGCAACACAAGCAAACAGAGGCGGCGTGGCAGAGATAGATCAAAGGTGCATACCAGAAGGGTGCTGGTCAGGCTCATCGTGCATCGGGGACACAAGTTTGGGAGGCAGCCTGACCAGACAAACGAGAATGCTGTGGGGGCTGTCTTCTCCCCCATGCCAAAAGGTCAGGTCCTGAGCCGAACCGCTACGGACTTGAGCCAGAATGGCGACGGACTCTCCTCCTCCCCCTCCTCCTCCTCCTCCTCCTCCGCCGAGCCGAGGCGCGCGCTGCCCATCGAAGAGCGCGTAGAGGCCTATGGGCGCCTGCGCGCAGACGCCGACGCAGGCGCCGCCGCCGCCAGCGCCGCTCGAAGATCGGAGCATGAGGGGTCCTGGAAGTTCCCTGGTCAAAGAGATTGCCTATATAAGTCTTGCACACCGCTGCATCAAACTACCATACGAGTCCGCCCGGCGCGCCGGCATCGGTGACTCGGCATAGCCTCCCGCACGGAGCGTCGTTCTGACTCGAGTCTGGCAGGCCCGTGCGCATGAAGGAACTCCCTGCGAGCCCCTGGGGGAAAGCTGGAGATCACGCCAGCCGAAGAGGTGCTTGCACGCTGCTGCAGCCAGCGAATCAGAAGGCGACGAGGGGAGGAAAGGGAAAGTGGGGGGGAGCGGGGGGGGGAGGAAAAAGGGGGGGGGGGGGGGGCGATGGTGCCCAGCCCCAGAATCCCGTACGGTCTCCCGTGCGGTCTCCCCCATGGTCTCCCGCACGGTCTCCCGCATGGCCTCCCGTACGGCCTCCCGTACGGCCTCCCGCATGGGCTCCCGCATGGTCTCCCCGGGGGTGGGGGGGGATCTCCAACAGGGTCTCCCGCATGGTCTCCCGTGCGGTCCCCCGTGTGGTCCCCCGCGTGCTCTCACGTGTGGTCCTCTCCCGTCTGGTATCTCGCATGGTCTCCTCGTGATGCCCGTCTGGTCTCCCGTGTGGTCTCTCCCTCATGGCCTCCTCCATGGTCTCGTTGCTGGTCTCCCGCGTGGCGCCCCTCATGGCCTGATTATACAGTAGCCTGGAGAAGGGCTCGACCAGGTGCAGCTGCGAGCACCGCAAAACAGGTGGGCACCAGTGGAAGGGGTTAGACAAAAGACCCAGGCACGCGCGAGAAGCACGGAGCGACACTGCTGATGAGGTCGCAGCCCGTCGAACCGTAACATGCTACATCTGGATTTAACCCGTTACGGATGACCTGCGCGTCTGGCGGAGCGGCGCTGGGGGGGTAGCATGTGGCGGGGCTTTCAGTGGAGGTCCCTATGGGCCCACGAAACGAATCAGGAGGGTGCGAAATTGGCGCGGTCACGCATGCGAGTCCTGTCACTGAGGCCTCAGGTGGAGGGAGCTACCTGTGGGGCCACGAAACGTCAGAGGGGTGTGCCAAACTGGGCGCGGTCACGTATGCGATTCCTGGGGCTGGGGCCTTCAGTGGAGCTCCCCATGGAGCCACGAAACACGTGAGGGGTGCGACGAAATGGTGTGGACCAGGTATGCGAACGCAGCCACTGAGTCCTCAGGTGGAGCTCCCCAAAGTGCCACGAAAAATCTGAGGAATGCGCCGGAAAAATTGCGGAGAAAGCATGCAGGCGCAGGCGGAGTAGGGCCCTCGGTGGAGCGCCGTGTGGGGCCAAAAACGCAGAAGAAGAGGGGCGAAGGCATGCGAACGCAGCCACTAGCGGCTCAGGTGAAGCTCCCTTTCGGGCCACGAAGCATGTGAGGGGTGCACCGAAAAAGTGCGGAGAACGTGTGCGAATGCAGCCACTGTATCCTTTGGTGGAGCTCCCAATGGAGCCACGACATGTGTCGGGGTGCGCCGAGATGGTGGAGAAGGTATGCGAGAGCAGCCACTGGGAACTTCGGTGGAACTCCCCATGGGGCCACGAAACGCGTGAGGGTTGCGCCGAAATTGTGTGGACCAGGTATGCAAACACATCCACTGCGGCCTTTGGTGCAGCTCCATCTGGGGACACGAAGTGTATGAGGAATGCAATTTGTGCGGACCACGCATGCGAACGCAGTCACTGGGGCCTTCGGTGGAGCCCCCTTTTGGGTCACGAAGCGTGCGAGGGGTGCGCCGAAATGGTGTAGGTCAGGCATGCGAACGCAGCCACTGGGGCCTTCGGCGGAGCCCCCTGCGGGGCCACGAAGGGTGCGAGGGGGGCGCCGACATGGTGTGGACCAGGCCAGGCATGGAGGGCAGCAGGCGGTGGGGCTTACGGTGGAGGTCCCGATGGGACCACGAAACGTGTCAGGAGGGTTCCGAAATTGGCGCGGTCACGTGTACGAGTCCTGCCACTGGCGCATTCGGTGGAGCCCCCAGATGGGGCCACGAAACGTGCGAGGGGTGTGCCGAAGTAGGCGTGCGGAGGAGGGCTGAGGCAGGGATGGGGAGGAGGGAGGAGGAAAAAGGGGGCAGCGGGAGGTGAGACGCGGAGCGGTCTCTTCAAAACAAGGACCCAACACCTCAGGATGGTTTGAACTGAAATCTAGACATATCTTGGCGGAAGACCCAACCATGCGCAGGTGTGCGTACCGCAAAACAGGTGGAAACTAAGGGAATGGGTCAGCAAAATGACTGAGGCATGCGTGCGAAGCACGGAGCGACGTTGCTGATGAGGTCGCAGAAATCAGCCGTAACGGGTTACCTCTGGATGCAACCCGTTACGGATGACCTGCGCGTTTGTCGGCGCAGCCCTGGCTGAGGTCCCGATGGGCCCACGAAATGCCACTGGTACATTTGGTGGAGCACCCTATGGGGCCACGAAGCGTGTGAGGAGTGTGCCGAGATTGGCGCGGACACTCACGCGAGTCCTGCCACTGGAGCCTTCGGTGGAGCTCCCTGTGGGGCCACGAAACATGCAAGAGGGCCCCAAACTGGGCGCGGTCACGCATGCGATTCCTGGAACTGGCGCGTGAAGGGTGGGCCGAAATGGTGGAGAAGGCATGCGATCGCAGCCATTCGGGCCTCAGGTGGAGACCCCGATGGAGAGGCCATGCGAACACAGCCATTCGAGCCTTCGGTGGAGCTCCCTGCGGGGCCACGAAACATGTGACGAGTGCGCCCCAAAGGTGTGGACCAGGTATGCGGACGCAGCAACTAGGACCTTAGATGGAACCCCCTTATGTAGCCAAGAAACGTGAGGGGTGCGCTGAAATGGTGTGGACCAGGTATGCGAACGCGCCACTGGGGCCTTAGGTGGAGCTCCCTGTGGGCCCGCGGAACGTGTGAGAGGTGCGCCGACATGGTCTGGACCGGGTATGCGAACGCAGCCACTGGCGCCTCAGGTGGAGGATGGAGCTCCCTACAGGGCTTGGGAACGTGCGATGGGGTGTGCCAACATGGACATGTGAGCTCAGCCCACGGGGCGCACCCGAGCGCAGACGAGGCGCCACAGGCGGCAACGTGGCGCGGCTTCGGCCGACCCACCCAGCGCACAGGGCGCGCACGAGCGCCCACGAGGCGGCACGGACAGCACGTGGTGCAATCTCGGCCGACCCACGAGGCGGCACAGGCGGCGACGTGGCGCAATCTCGGCCGACCCACCCAGCGTACGGGGAACCCACGAGGCGGCACGGGACCTCAACGTGGAAAATCCTTGTCCGGTCCGTCCGGTTGCTCAATAACAAAAGAAAGAAGTAAGAGCCCCTATGTGCAAGCACTGTTTGGGGAATAAGGAAACAAGAAGAAGAGAAAGAAGTGGAGGACGACCATAAGGCATACAAAATGACATGATGGGAATGCCGACAAAACCATTATGAATAAGAAGGCACGGAATAATGGCACGAAGAGATTAGCGTGTGATATGCCGTCCTTGGCGGCGAACCTGTGTTCCTTCCTGACGTTCCTCTCCGCTGCTCCCTCCCTCCTCGTCCTGGCTCCTTCCCTCCTCCATCCTGAACCGTCATGTTCTCGCCGGTAAGACACCGTTCTCCCTCCCTTCACTGGTGACGGAGAGCAGGCGGCAGGGGTTGGCGGGTTGGTTGGTTGGTTGGCGGGGTGGCTGGTTGTGCTGGTTGGCTGGTTGGCTGGCTGGTTGGGTTGGCTGATTGGACTGGCTAGGGCAATTGGCTTCGACCGAGGGGCTCGTGAGCTAAACAGCCTTTTCCCAAGTCTAGGCCACCGCTGCTGGCGCTGCGTCGCCGTTCAACAGTGCCGGACACAACTGGCCTGACGATGAGGCGCGACCGCCATCCCTCCCCCTCCTCTCACAGAGGCCTCCCGCGGCGCCCGCGGAGGCCCAACAACACACAGAAAACGCCCCGAACCCCGAGTCCTTCTTTTCCCCCCTCAGGAGAGGCAGAGTCCAGACGGAGTAAGCCCAGACGGAGACCGAGCACTCTGTACGGACTTGCTCCGCACGGACTGAGCCTCATATCGGGCGAGGCTAAGTCAGACGGAGTAAGCCCAGATGGAGATCGAGCGCTCCGTATGGACTTACTCCGTACAGCCTTAGCCTCCGCAGACCCCCGCCCTCGGCATCTCGGAGACGAGTCGGCCAGCTGGCCGAGGACGCCGCCGCCGTTTGCCCCCACATGCCCAGCCGCCCGCGAGAACAGCGCGGGGGCGGGGCGCGCCAAGTGGTCGAAGATGCCCGAGGCGGGCAGGTCGACCTTCATCGCGCCAGCCACCTGGCTACTGCAGCGGGGATCGGTCGTTGCTTACTGGGGGGTGAAGAAAGCGGTGCACCTTCTTAGAGGTAGGATGGAGAGGAGAGGAGCAGCAGAGGCGAGGGGGACGGAGGAGGGAAGGGAGGAGGGAGGGGAGGCAGGAGGCAGGGGAGGAGGAGGGAGGGGAGGGAGGGAGGGGAGGACGGAGGAGCAGGAGGGCGAGGGAGGGGAGAGGGAGCAGGGAGGGGAGGAGAAGGAGGAGGAGAGGGAGGAGGGAGAGGAGGTAGGAGGGAGGAGGGAGGGGAGAGGAGCAGGAGAGGCGAGGGGGACAAGGGGGAAGGGACGGGGGCGAGGACCGAGGGAAGAGAGAGGGCCGAGAGGAGGGGGGAAGGACGGGGGAGGGGGGAGGGGGGGAAAACCGGGGGGGCAAGGGCCGATGGGAGGGGGAGAAGGACAGGGGCGAGGGCCGAGGGAAGGGGGAAGAGCGAGGGTTCGGTGGCAACTCTTGGGAGCCTCCCATACCATCTCGTTGGCTCCTGCGAGTCCTCCATACCTCTTTTTTTCATGTCCTCCATCCCTCCTTCCTCCTCTCGTCCCTCCTCCTCCTCCTCCTCCTCCTCCTCCTCCTCCTCCTCAACCCCAAACCGTCCTCCCAAATACCCAGTCCCTCCCCGTCTCCATCCTCCCCCTCCACCTGCTTCGTCTCGCCCTCCCCCAGGGAAGGCGGAGGCATTGCGGCAGCGGCTGCGGAGTGGCCCGCCTTGCGAAGGTCCTTCACGATCACGTGCTTCGTCACGGACTTCCCGCCTAGGCGACCCCAGGCCGACGCGGGAGCGCAGGGCGAGGCAAGAAGGGAGGAATAGAAAAAGGGCGACGACGAGGACAAGGACGACGACGACGACGACAACGACAACGACGACAACTAGATGGCGACAAGACGATGGCGACGAGACGACGACGACGACAGTGGCGACGACGAATAGAAGACGAAGAGACGAGGACGACGAAAAACAACGAAGACGACGACGACGAAGAGACGACGACGACGACGACGACGACGAATAGACGACGAATAGACGTCGAATAGACGACGAATAGACGACGACGATGAAGACAACGAAGACAACGAAGACAACGACGATAACGAAGAGACGACGACGACAACGACGACGACGACGACGAATAGACGACGAATAGACGACGAATAGACGACGACGAAGACAACCAAGACGACGAAGACGATGACGAGGACGAGGACGACGACGACGAATAGACGGCGACGGGACGACGACGACGACGAAAATGGCGACGACGAATAGAAGGCAAAGAGACAACGACGACGAAGACAACGAAGACGACAACGACAACGACGACGACGACGACGACGACGAAAAGACAACGAAGAGACGAGGAAGAGACGGCGAAGAGACGGCGAAGAGACGACGAAGTCCACGAATAGACGACGAATAGACGACGAATAGACGACGAATAGACGACGAATAGACGACGACGACGACGACGACGACGACAGCGGCGGCGGCGGCGGCGAAGGTGGCGAAGGCGCAGGCGAAGGCGAGGCCGGAGCGGGGCTGAGGCGGCGGCTCACGCTGCCCGCGCTAACCGCCTGGGGGCCGCCGACTGGGCCGGAGCAGCGGCGCGGGCAGGGAGCGGGGGGGCCAGGGGGGGAGGGGGGGAGGCAAGCTGGGCGCGCTCGCGCCGTACCCTGGGAGGCAACTTCCGGAGGGTCTTTCTGAGAACACCGCAGGGCTACTGAGGAAGAGTAAGGGGCGAAGCCGCGAAGCCCAGAACTGAACCAAACTAAGCGGGTTAAGGCGGATGTAAATCCCACCAACCTTCTCGGCATCCTACGCCTTGCTTCAAGAAGCGACGCGACTAATCAAGAGAGGGTATGTGTATTCAAACGCGTCATGGCGTCGGCCCAGGACGTCCTCACTCCCGTCGCGCCCAAGATGGATCCGAGAGGGTCTCCGATGCTCCAAGATGGCCTTCAAATGGCTAAATACAGCCGAAGATAGATAGTTCAAGATGGCCTCCATCATGCCTCCAAAATGCCCCAAGAGAACCACGAGGTGGTTCCGAATGCTCCCGGAGCCCCGCAAGGACCCCCCTAGAGGCCAACATCCTGTAAAAACGTATGTGGTGTGTGCCTTATCGCCTTTCCGCTTCCGATGGGCTTTTGAGGCCTCAATAATATGGCCCCAAGATGGCCCAAGAGAGCCCCAAGAGGGGACCCAGAGCCCCCCAAGACGGCCCCTAGAGCGCCGAAGCGCGCCCCAAGAGGCGCTTAAGGGGGGACGGAAATCGAGAACCTGCCTCTTTTGATCGACGACCTACAAGATGGTCCCAACAGATCCTACAGCGCTCCTGAATGGCCCCCAAGAGGGCTTCCAGAGGGTCCAGGAAGAGCCCCAAGACATCTGAGAATGGCCCCGAGAGCCCAAAGAGGACCGTAAGAGAACCCGAAGAAGCCCTCGAGAAGACCCCAAAATGGCTCCAAGAGGCTCTAACAACAAAAGGTCCGCGAAGGCCTCCTCCTCCTCCTCATCCTCATCAACATCATCATCAGCAGCAGCATCATCTTCGTCATCTTCATCTTGGTCATCATGCTCATCATCTTCATCTCATATTCATATTCATATTCATCTTCATCTTCATCTTCATCTTCATCTTCATCTTCATCTTCATCTTCATCGTCGTCATCCTCCTCATCTTCCACCTCCTCCTCCTACTCTGCCTCATCCTCCTTTCCTTTCCTGTCCTTTCCTTTCCGTTCCTTCCTTCCTGCCTTCTCCCTCCTCTTCCTCCCCCTCCTCCTCCTCCTCATTATGCTTCTCCTTCTGCTCCTTTTACTCCTCCTCCTCCTCCTCCTCCTCCTCCTCCTCCTCCGCCCTCCTCCTCCTCCTCATCGTCACTCCCTATGCGGATCCAAGAGAGGGCCTCAAGAGGTCCCCCACTCCCAAAGATCCCTCCGTTCACCCTTCTTGCCCCCGCTGTTCCACTGCCTTCCCCAAACACCTACTGCCCTGAGGGGCTCTCACTTCGCTTCGAAGGCAACTGGGCCCCGGGGCCGCCCCGGCCGGCTTGTGGCCGCCCGTCGCAGCCGGTCGCCGCCGCCCGTCGCCGCCGCAACTGGGCCCAGGGGCTGCCCCTGCTGGCTTGCGGCCCCCCGTCGCCGCCCGTCGCCGCGGTCCGTCACCGCCGAAACTGGGCCCCGGTGCCGCCCAGGCCAACTCGTAGCCGCCGCCCATCGCCGCCGTCCGTCGCCGGCGTCGCCGCCCGTCGTTGCCGCCCGTCGCCGCCACTTGCGCCGCGCTGCTTTCATGTGCTCTGACGCACCGATTCGCATTGCGTTGCATTGATTTGCATTGTCGAATTCTTTTGCGTTCGCTCACATTATCTACATACATACATAATGACGTATGTATAAAGAAATATAAAAGACTGGTTTGGCGCTTCGCGCCATGCACTTTGGTCCTTGAGGCTTGGCATGTAGACAGAAGACAATAAGGTAAAACGGAACAGTTAGCGATAACTCGTTATTGCCTTTTCTAGCAACGACGTTGTAATCATGCTATGTGTTACCCTTATCTCATGTTTCATATTTCTATTTCTCATTCTCGCCCTACCATGCGAATCATTCCCCATCCTCAGTTCTTGCTACGTAGGAAAACCTCTTGTAAGCCTCACGGAGATTTTGAAGGGCTTGATGGGGCATTCTTCTTTCGGACGCCTCTAGCCACACCGTGACAGGCCACCACGCAAATGTTATGAAGATAAAAAGTTGTGCTGAACTCTGCCGCGCTTTACAATGGCATTCTGATGTATCGGCCGGGATATCGAGCAGACTGCGTCCTCTAAGGCCATGGCTTCCGCTGCGAAGGAAGAAACAGGCGGGCGCATGTAAGTTCCACTCATAGCGATAGAGAAAATGTGGCGATGGCCATCACGCCATACAGCTGCTTCGGCCCTTCTGGGTCCCTTCTGGGGGGCTTCCCTGGGCCACACTGCTTCCAACCGCGGTCTCCCTGGACGACCGGGTCACGTTGGAATGATTCAGGAGGCGTCTTGGGGCCATCTTGGGCCGTCATGGGGCTCTCTTCGGGCCATCTTCGGGCCCTGTTGGGCTGTTTTGGGGCTCCTCTTGGACTGCCTGGAAGCCCTCTTAGTTGAATTTGAAGCGATTATCTGGCATCCCGGGCGGTCTCGGACGCCTGGAAGACCGACGAACTGCGCATTCATAACATCATAGAAACATCAGCGGAAAACACTTGCATTGGGTCTCGAGTACCAATTGGGGGTATTTTTGTCGGTCGTCTTGGGACGTCTGGTGGGTATCTGTGGCCTCTGTGGGCTCTCACGGGGCCGTCTGGTCACCTTCCTGACCGATTTGGGCCCGTTGCCTATGCCCAGCAGGGGTTTCAGGAGCCCCAGAAAGCACAGGGGACCATCTGCAAGGGCGTCCAGGGTGCCCCTGGGGCCAAGGATCCGGAGGGGTCCCATTCAGGGAGGGGGGTCGCAGGTCCCAGAGTATAAAAATATATGAAAGAACAACGCATTACATTGCGTTTCATTGTTTTGCATTTAGTTGCATTGCGTCGTCTTGCTTCGCATTATTCTGCAACATATAAGCTGGCTGCACCACATTGATTGCACCGCCTAGATTGCACCACATTGATTGCACGACCTAGATTGCACCGCATAGAGTTCAGGAAATCACAGTTTAGGATCCACGCTGGCTAACATTGATTTGTCTCTTCCTCATTTCTCCCGTCAGCTTTCACGGGCATCGTTTCTATACATTGGCTGGTGGGGATAAGTTGTATTGTCGCAACCGCAGGCGAAAGCGCCAGCGGCGAGTCAAGTCGGCTCGGGCGACGAGCGGAACTAATTGCCCAGCGCGCGCAGACCGGCGGCCGAAACTAAGCTGCCTAAGCTGCCTAGGCTGCCGGGCGGGGCGGGCTAGTGGGGATAAGCGAAGCGTCAAGAATTGGACTATGCCAGAATAGGCCGTGATGCTCGAATGCTGAATTAGCATTCCAAAAACTGCATCTCAACATACCTGACGTCCGACCCCTCCCCCCATCCCTTTTCGCTGCCTTGACACTCCCTATTTGCAGAGCCGTGTGTCGGTAAAATCCTTGATGCCGACGGCCTTTCCAAACACTACATTTCACACACAGCAACAAGCACGGCACGCAAAAGCCATCCCTGGGGAGACAAAGAGCGAAAGAAAGAGGGCCTGGAACTCCGCCAAATTGGTCTTCCAGCCGCGGCGTTTTCCCTTGATTCCAGCTCCCCAAGATCGTTTTCGGACCCCGCGACCATCAGACACGGATCCAGGATGGGAAATCACCCGTGGTGGGAGTGGTGGGGAGCTCTGGGGCCACGAATTGACAAAGTCACATCGTTGGAAGCGCTGCGCGTTATGACCATCCCCGCGGAAGCTTCGATCCTGATGTCACTTTCCCAGGCTTGATCCGAGAAGAGAACCTGAACCATTCGCGTGCACCAACGTAGCGCCCTGAAACATGCGGAGATATACTAAAAACGCGAAGTTGTTGCCAAAAACGTAAGGGTGGGAGCCACAGTTTGCGCGCATCGGAACAGACGCCGCTAGCGACATTGGTGGAAGCCCCAGGAATGAACAACATACCCGACGGGGGCACCGCCACGCGGAACTGCTGGGATAGCAGAGTCAAGCGGCTGCCAACGCCCAGCATCGCGATCCCGACGCGCCGATAGCGCCGACGAGATCGCTTTCCAAGCCTTTCCACCCGAGATCGCCTCTAGGATGCTCAAACCAGTGCTCTCGCAGCCTGGCTGGCTCGAGCGACCGAAAAATGCGCCAAGAGGTCACAAGGAGGCCCTGGGAGTGACTCCACAGGGGTCCTAAAGGAAGCCAAGATCTCAATGCATACGTTAAAGGGTACCACGAACGATAGAGGGGATCCGGAGAGCGTAGATACGCCCCCCTGGACAAACTCTGAGCCCGATTCGCCCCATCGAGGCCCACGAGAGCCTGCACACAGCCGAAAGACCCCCAAACGCCCCTGAGAAAGCAAAGAAAAAACGCTCAGCCAAGAGGACGGTGGATGTGGCACAACCCTGGTGAGTCACACAACGTCCTCCCTCCAGCCAATCTCCCTGTCCCCGCACCACGCCCCTCCCTCGACGCGAGAAGCCACCCCCGCGGCGCTGGGATCCACCGCCCTGAGGGCCCGAAACCTGTCGGAGGTGGCAGAACCCTGTGACCCGCTTGCAAGCTCGCAGGGGGTGGTACGGCCGCCTTTCCTTGGGAACGCGGATCGTGTAACAGTGGCCCGGCGACTCCGAAGGGTGTGGATTGCAAAGAGTGCGCTTTGCAACCCGCGCCCTGGGGCGCGGGCGAGGACCTCGACAGACACCTCCGCCGCGCTCCGACGAGGACAACGTGGTGCCCCCCAAGACCCACCGACGCAAATCGCAAACCACACCCCAGCGTGACTACACCCGTTGTAGCCGCCGAATGACCGCAGATGCGAGCTGCCCCGACAGACGCTTGGTCCGACGATCCTGCCCTGCTCGCGCTGTCGTCCCCGAATATGTCCCTCCCCCATCCTCCTCTCCACCTCCTCCTCCGCCTCCTCCTCCTTCTCCTCATCCCCTCCTCCTACTTCTCCTCCTCCTCCTCCTCCTCTTCCTGTTCCTCCTCCTCCTCTTATTATCCTTCTTATTCGTCTTAGTATTAATATGAGTACTATCATTGCTGTTAATCTTAATCGTAATGGCATTATTAGAAATATCATTCGTATTAGTATTACCGTTGATAATAACATCGTTTTTCACAGTATTAATCAGGTATTGGTAAAATTCATATGACTATGTTGTCATTATTACTCTTGTTGCTATTATTCGCCTTGGTATTATAAGTGCTCTTACTAAAAGGTACTATGACCATTATAATACCATTCGTCTTCTCATTATTCGTCGGATCCGTTTTATCATTGTTCGTAGCACTATGACTTTCATTATTATTACTCCTATGCTTCTCGTTACTCGTCTTAATGTTATGTATATTATTCCCCGTATTGATATCGCTCTTCTGGCGACGATTCGTGTTATCGCTATGTCTCTTCCTCCTCCTCCTCCTCCCACTCCTCGTCCTCGTTCTCGTCCTCCTCCTCCTCATCATCATCAGCATCATCAGCATCATCGTCAGCATCGTCGGAAGCATCATCATAATCATCATCAGCATCAGCATCATCAGCATCATCATCAGCAGCAGCATCATCACCCGCAGCATCATCAGCAGCAGCAGCAGCAGCATCAGTAGCATCAGCATCAGCATCATCAGCATCATCATCATCAGCAGCAACATCGACATCGTCGACGTCATCAGCATCAGCAGCATCATCAACAGCATCAGCAGCATCATCATCACCACCATCATCATCCTCATGAGCAACATCAGAAGCACCGTCCGCATCATCATCAGCAGCATCATCATCAGCATCATCAGCATCATCCTTACCATCAGCATCATCATTACCATCAGCATCAGCATCAGCATCAGCATCAGCATCAGCATCAGCATCAGCATCAGCAGCATCAGCATCATCATCAGCATCAGCATCAGCATCAGCAGCATCATCATCATCATCATCATCATCATCATCATCATCATCATCATCATCATCATCATTAGTAGCAGTAACAGCATCATCAGCATCACCATCATCAGGATCGGATTCGGCATCGGCATCGTCAGTATCACCCGCATCAGCATCAGCATCAGCAGCAGCATCATCATCAGTATCATCATCATCATCAGCATCATCATCATCATCAGCATCACCACCACCAACATCATCAGCACCATCATGATCAGCATCATCGTCATCAGCTTCTCTGTTCCAATGGTGGCTGGACACGGCGGTGCTCGGGTCGACCGCAACGGGCATCATCGCAAACACATGGCGAAGCGCAGCACACGGGCGGGCCCGCAAGCGCGACCCGTGGGACTTCCCCTCGAGGCCCCGAAGCTCTCCTCCGAGCCAAATTCGCGGACCCCCTCGGGGCCCCTGGACATGCAGCCCCCTTGACCCGCCCTCGAGCCACGCGCGCACCCGCACCCGGTTTTCTGGAGGCGAGAGCGGAGGTGGCGGCGGCGGAGCGCGAGGGAGTGCGAAGGGAAGGGGAACGGGGGAGGAAGGAGGATGGAGGGATAGTGGAGGAAAGGGGAGAGGGAATGTGAAGGGAAGGGGAACGGGGGAGGAAGGGGGATGGGGGGATAGTGGAGGAAAGGGGAACGGGGGAGGAGGGAGGAGGATAATCACGACGAAGACAATATGATGGAGGAGAGGATGAGGCGGACACCGCGCGTACGTCTCTGTCTGCCCGAGTGAGATTGCAAGAATGACTCTGAGTACGCGTGCCGTCTCGCCAACCCGTGGAAGTGCGAACGACTTCGCCAGACAATCGACGCTTAGGGGACAGAGCGAGACCGAAACCGTGGTGTTGCCTCCAGGGTCCCTTCGGCCGCTCGACGCTGAGGAAAACTGCAGCCGATGATAACAGAAAGCTGCTCCTCCTGCCCCTCCTCCTGCTCCTCCTCCTCCTCCTCCTCCATCCTCCTCCCTCCTCCTCCTCCTCCCTCCTCCTCCCTCCTCCTGTTGGTCTCCCGTTGGTCTCGGAGGCCCCGTCACCGCTGCAATGAGGTAGCAAAAAGGAAATAGTTCATCGTGCAGGGGGGTCCGCCGCGACCCAACCCTGCAACGATCACACAAAGGGCACCGACCTCCCAACACACGACTTAGTGCTGGGGTTGATGCCAACTACTTAAGTTTGGTTAAACCCACTGCAGCATGGCGGTTGCCAGGACCCCCACGACACTTAGCGGTGAGCCTGTGGGAAGGGGCCTCGCCGAAGGCCCCGCAGCGCGAGCACCAGCCAACGCGGCCTCCCAACAACCACATACTATGCATCCTGTGGCTGTACCTGGCAACCCTAGGCGGGTCACCACAGGGGAAAACACAAACACCTGCACAATACTTTCCTTTCTCGCCGCAGGTCACACACCGATAGGCTGATTTGCCGAATCTTTCTACAGCATGCCCGTTGGGATCAGGAACCAGCTCCAAGAGACTCGGCTTGGCCAGTCTAGGCCGACGGAACCGAGCCACGTCAGGAAGGACCTCGAACTGAGCCCGTCTATCACTTCAGCTATCAGCCACGCTGCCTCTCGCATGCGCGGGGGGCTGTCATTAGATAGTTGGTGAGCGTGGGGCCCCACGGCTGGAAGCGGGCCCCTTTCTTGGCCAGCTCGTCCGCCTTGCGGTTCCCCATGCACTTCCATTCTCCAACTGTACGCACACGGGACTGGTGGAGGGACAAATGAGATTCTACCTTACTAATGGTGATCATGCGCCTACCGGTGTCATCGCTGATCCTGAAGATGTCAACCCAAAGCTCCGAGAAGGCGGCTTTCTCAAGGTTCTGCGAGGCCCCATCGTTCCACACGGATGTCACCATAGCGCAACCGGTCACCACTGCCATGGGCTCAGGGCCTGCCAAACGCAAGCACTTAAAAAGGGCATATACCTCCCCACACCGAGCCATCTGGACCGCATGTGGGAGTGGGCCATACGCCGAACCATGTATCCACCCTCCGAACCCACCTCCAAACACCGAGACAGCAGCCCACCCCGCCCTGGAGACCTGCGGGAGCTCGGGGTCCAGTCCAGACCCATCGATATACACACTGGTCCCGAGCCTTCCCCCTGGTGGCACCACCTCCCACTTGTGGCCAGCAACTGTGTACGGCGCAGGCCACAGGTCGGGAGCCACGGTGAGGCCGCGTGAAAGGAGCAGCTCTTTTTGCTCACCTTCGGGCCCGCCAAAGACAATTGCAACGTCGAGATCCCTCCGAACGGCGGCAAAGAATTCGCAGCACGTGAACCTGTGGGCCGGGGTTCCGACAGCAGCGCCACAGGCCTGGCAGAGCGGGTCCACCACTCGCCTGTCGTCGAACAATATGAGCTGTGTGGGATACCCTCCTGCTACAATTCCTGCAAGTCCTGTCGCTGCTGCAAATCATCCCTGCTTCCTCAGGTTCCCAAGAACTTCACGATCGGCTCGAGTAGTGGCTTCCCTCGGAGTCCTGGAACACGAATCCCATCCCCAAGACCAGCCAAAATCATATCACGAACGCTCTGGACCAGGACCATTTTTAGGGATCGGTAACCAATCTCCAGCACATTCAATTCTACCCCAGCTCTGGTACGGAACACATTCCAATCGAAGATCTGCCATCCGAGTCGTTCAGCTGTAAGTACGACTGCTCCGGCAGGCCCTCGGACATCCTGCCATCTGCGGCCTGGACGACCATGGAAGTCTCGAAAACTAGCTTGCATAACTTTGTGCTGGACCCACTCGTGCCGTGCAGCCTGGCCCCAGGTGAGGATGGGGAGAAGGTGCACATCGTACGTAGGGTCCGCTTTGGGGTCCTCCTCCTCCTCCTCCTCCCCCTCCTCCTCCTCCTCCTCCTCCTCCTCCTCCTCCTCCTCCTCCTCCTCCTCCTGCCTGACAGCACTCCCCCCGCAGCCCCCCCTGAGCCCCACCGTCCCCCCAAGACGCGGCCCACCCGAAGGGCTGAGCGCCCCGGGCCCGCGCCTCGACCACCACGTTCGGCGGCTTGGCGGCCTTCCTGGCGAGGGCATTCCCGAGCGCAGAGCGGGCACCG